TTGAGGCGGTATTGCATTGTCGGCATCGATCAGAGCTTAGAAAAACCCTAAGGTTTAAAGGAGTAGATCTCTTGCAAGAAAAATTACTCAAAACAAAGGTATACATATATCTTGCTGAGACTATCATATATCTCGAGAATTTGTTGACAAGCGGATAATTTTTGAATTTTAAATCTTAAATCAGTTTTCGGAAGTTCCCCGAAACCGTAGTGAAATTCCCTATCGATTATGACAGCCAAGCAGTAAACGTTGTATCATATTACGTTCTTCTTAAGCTGAGAGAGTATTTTTCACCGCCATACTCCTAGCTCAGCTGTTATGAGCAGTTGTTTTACAATCGTCGACACGGGCACGACACTTTTACTGTAGTCATCCATGTATATTTAAGTGTATTACTAGTATTTTACGTCTTTCAAGTATTTTCAGAATGAAGCAAGTGTTCTTAAACTGGAATATTATCTCCTGTTTGCCTTATTCTTTTTTCCAACTATTTGAACAAACACCAAATTCTATCCAGATTACATGCTTCGAGAGAATTCCATGACCAGCAATAAAGTGTTTCCACTACTCTTTTTTGGGAAACTAATCATGAAAAGCGAAAGTCATACAACCATATGAACTATAAGATATCCCAAAAAATGATCACTGTGGTTGTTGAAATCTTTTATTTCCAAATAATTTTCTAGACCTGCATGGCTAGGGAGCGAAAGAGTGGGACGGGGGAGGTTGAGCTTAGACTTCCAGTTATAAACGGATCTTCTGCATACCTCTTTCCATTACGGTAGGATGACGACATCAAGTTCTGTGTTGCTTTAGAGCTGATGTGGGGCATCACTCTAAATTGGAAAAAAGTATCTATCACGTCCTAAACATGTCTAATGGGATTGAGTCATAGGTTGAGGCTAATCATGAAATCATTTGATATCGTAATATTTTTGTCGAATTTACGGCTAGCCATTACCAGCTATTGGGCCACATAAAACTTTAGATTCTAACAAAAACGAAATCAACAAAATTCGAGATTCGTTGTGGGTTTGAATCTAAGTTCGAGCTAGTATCCAAAATGAATCATCAATGACTAGGGAAAGTTTGAAAATGGAAAAGTTTTTTTGCAAAACAGTAATCACATTTCTTGCGACTCCCCGTATGTCCATTTGAAAAGAGGCCTACCTGCAAAAAGGAGATATTTTGGTAAGAAGGAAATTGCCAAATATACTTAGAATTAAAATTTC